ATATATACATAGCAGACATGTTAACTTGGGAGGGGAAAACACTAGTAACTGGAGGGGGGTGGGCAGGAAATCTTTCCTGAAAAAGATGGCTTTGGACTGAATTTTGAAGGAAACCCTCTAAGATCTCTCCCAGCTCTAAACCTATAAAATTAGTGTGAGTTCTTAATAGGATTTTGATTGAAATTAGAATAAGTGATTCAAAGAAGAGTATTTTTTAATTAGTTTATTTTGATTTATCAACAATCATTTCCATAAGCTTTTGAGTTTTAAAGTTTTCTCCCCCTCCTTCCCCACCCTCCCCAAGACAGTGTGCAATATGATATAGGCTATACATATACTTTCCTACTAAACATATTTTCACATTAGTGATGTTGTAAGGAAGAATTAGAACCAATAGGAGGAACCACCAGAAAGAAGAAACAAAACACAACAGAAGAAAAAAAAATAGCAAATAGTATGCTTCAATCTGCATTCAAACTCCATTGTTATTTCTTTGGATATGAATAGCACTTTCCATCCTGAGGCCTTTGGAGATGTCTTAGATCCTTGTATTGCTTTTGAGAAGGGTTAAGTCTATCAATATTAGTCATCGCCCAACGTGGCTGTTACTGTGTACAACGTTCTTCTGCTTCTTCTCACTTCACTCAGCATCAGACCATACATGTCTTTCAGGTTTTTCTGAAGTCTTCCTGTTCATCATTTTTTATAGCACAATGATATTCCATTACATTCACGGTTATGGTTGCTGTCTGTGTCTTTCTCTCCATCCTTTACTCCTTACCCCCATTTATGCTTTTCTTTCTCCTTTCCCCTCCTCATTAGTGTTTTGCTTTTGACCACCACCTCCCTCAGTCCCACCTCCCTTCTATTAGCCTACTCCCTTTCCTTCCCCTTTACCCTTACTACTTCTTCCCTCCCTTCTATCTCCCTTCCCTTTTCTTTCCCCTTTTCCCTCCTACTGCCTTATGGGGCAAGTTAGATTTCTATACCTAACTGATTATGTTATTCCATAAAGAAGAGTATTTTAAACAAGTACTCACCACCTTTCTTTATCCTCAGATCTTTTGTGCTTTTCCTCAAGCTCCATAGCCTGACTGCTGATAAGTGAAAAAAAAGATCCCCCCTTTTTCCATTTTGTGGCTCACGAAAATTGAAGATTCTTTGATTGCTTTTATCAACTTGACCAATCTCTTCAAGGAGTGTTTTGAACCGAAAATAGAGCAGGAAGGACAAAACTGCCCACGTAGATCTGCCAAACTAGAGACAATGAAGAGTGGGTGGTACAATATGGGGAGAAGAAGAGGAGGAACTTGAAAGAGAGAACGTCCAATCCAGGAGTCATCGATTACTGTCTCCTTTTTGCTCCTGGGAAATCAAACATGTAAACTAAACACTAGGGGGTCACTCCAGAATGAAGAATGCAAAATTAGAGTTTCAAATCCAATGTTCCTACTGAGCAATAACTCAATTCTAAGCTATCACAAACATTTATTTTCAAACTTTTCTGTTTGCTCATTCATTCATTCATTTTGTGGCAGCACAACAATGTAGAGGAACACAGTGGTCTGGGGGAAAGGAGAGTTGGGTTCTAATCCTGGCTCTGACACTAGTGATCTGAGTGTTCTTGAGTAACTCACTACAGTAGGCCCTACCTTTCTGGGCCTCAATATCCTCATCTTCCATTTAAAAATTTAATGGCGCTCAAGGTCTAATATTCCAATTCTAATTCTTAAATATATACATATATACATATAGATATAATTATTATATATAATATATTATAATATAGATTATAATATTTATATAGAATATTTATTGTATATAATAAAATATAATAAATATTTATTATATATAAAAATATAAAGAATATAGCCAAGAATAACAAAACCCAGAATGAGTGGGGAATATGTAACCAACAGAACCCTAAGCATATCCTGAAGAAAGACAGCTGCATTCAGTTTTAAATATTTAATTACCATTTGCCAATGCTGGATTTCAGAAACAGTCACAACTAAGGTAGTGTGTTTAGGCAGCTAGGTGGCACGTGGATAGAACACTAGGATGGAATTCAGGAAGACTCATCTTTGTGAGTTCAGATCCAGCCTCAGATAATTGCTAGCTGTGTGACCCTGAGCAAGTTACTTAACTTTGCCTCAGTTTCCTCATCTGCAAAATGAACTGAAGAAGAAACTGGAAAATCACTCCAGTGTCTTTGCCAAGAAAATCCCAAATGGGGTCATAAAGAGTCAGACATGACTGAAACAACTGAACAAGGTAGTGTGATCGTGGGCCTGATCCAGAACAGTAAAATGTAAAGGGCACTTACAGAAATACCCCATGCTGTGCTTCTAATTGACAAAAGCCAGTACTCCACGTGAGTTATACTCACAGCAATGACAGCCTCATCCTAAAGCTTGTTTCCTTCTCCTACTGCCTATACCCCTAGCCCCTGGTATACCCCATTCTTACCTCCTAGACAATAGCCAGTCTATCAGCAGCACAGAAAGCTTCTGATTTTCCAAATTATGCTTCCTTCTTCCTGAAGACATTCTTCTAGACTAGCTTCCTTATTCCTTCATTTTCCTTCCATTCTTTACCTCATCCCTCACCACCATTACCATCAACCTTTTTCCCTGGTGGAAAATTCCTAGTTGTGGGTCTAATTTTAAGGAATCCTTGGGAATGTGATCATCACAAAATAGTTTAGGAGCTGGGAACAAAAGCTTTGGGGGGAAAAATAAAGTGTTATCTTGCTTTTTATAAAATTTTCATTTTGTATTTATTTCCAAGTTCTTTTCCCAGAACCGAGTTCCCTTTGTTCTTAAAAAGGCTAATTTGAGAGGGCTGCAGCAGTGAAATGATTATTATTCTTAGGGAAAATTTCCTTGAAGACTAATCACACTGCATTAGCATCTTTCAAACAACACAATCTATTTCTAGGAACAGGGGGAGAGGTAGTTAAAAGTGGAAGGCCAAAGGAAGGACCTCTCCTCACTTCTATGTGATGCTTTGCTGACATCAAATTTCTCTCTTAGAAAGCCACTTTCTCCCTGCTCATGGCTGGGGAGGGAAGACAACAGGGGCAGGAAAGAGTGGGAATCAAACTACCCCCAAGGCTGTGTTCTTTCTCCTTGCACAGAGAAACAGTCAGCAAACAGACAGTAATGATCCTCTGAGCTTCCTCACCCCATGACAACTGCTGATAAGTCAGAAAAGTGGGCAAAATGGAATGTAATTTCAGTCTGCATAGGGGGTTCGTATTTCCAAGGCCTAATTATAACATTATACCTGCTTGCATATGTTTATCTCACAATTAATTATTGGTCCCATGCAAAAAATACAGTTCTTTAATATTTACTAAGAATTTCAACTTTGAAGTCAATATTTACATTCAGGCAGATGCAGAGATCTACATATTTATGAAAAGATGCAATTACACAAACCCTGTATGCAAAATAGCAGATGCAAGTCAATTCAACTCAACAAGAACCTACTACGTGCATGCATCTCACTCAAATACCTCCTGCAATGTTGCATTGTGTCCTGGAGCTACTCAAAGACTGTACCAGTGGGTGGCAAGCTCTGGCATATCCTCCCAAGCTGGAAAGACTTTGCCTATGGGCCTAGAAAGGGATCTTGAGGCTGTTAATTACAAACCTGCCTGGCTAAATTTAGAAAGGCTTTTCACAAGATGGGCCACACAGTGATGGATGCTTTGACCCCATTAGCTCTCAAAAACATCTACTAAGTTGTAGAGGTACTTGCAATCTGTGTCGAGGGAGTAGGGACCTATACTTTTGAAGACACTCTTTACTGATATATGAAAATATTTACTAGTTCCTGGAGATGATACAGAGTTGAATAAGATGTAGTCTCTTCTTCAAAGAGTTTCTTTGAAAGAGGAAACAAGATACATGATGTAAATAACTATAGGAATAAGAAAAAAATTTGGACTGGACCTGACATTTTATTGCTATAGAAATACTGGTGAGTGGCACAGTGGATAGAGCATCGGCCCTGGATTCAGGAGGACCTGAGTTCAAATCCAGCCTCAAGCACATAACACTTATGTAGCTATGTAACCCTGGGCAAGCCACTTAACGCCATTGCCAAGCCAAAAACAAGAAAAAAAGAAAAAGAAATACTGGTGAGAAAACCTTCTCAAGTGGTGAAGATCACCACCTGTTCCAAAACTTGCAGCTTTAGGAAACTGGTTGGGGGTACTAAGTAGTTAAGTGATTTGCCCAGTATCACACAGCCACTGTAACTCAGAAACAGGAGTGGAATCCAGAACTCAGTGACCTGAAGCCAAGGTTTCAATTTACTAGAGTGCTACCTCTTGCACCTCCTGTCCTGGAGTCTGTGAACTTTTTTCAAAAAAGTATTTTGGTAACTGTTTCAATTTATTTGGTTTCTTTGGTAATCCTATATATTTTATTTTAAGCATTTAAAAACATTATTCTGAGAAGGATTCTGTACACTTTATCAGACTACCAAAGGGCTCCTTGACACAAGAAAGATCAGGAACCTTTCTATGGAAAATAGAACACAATAAATACATAAAGGTATGAAGAACCATGCATGTTATGAGAAAGATGAGATCTCACTCTTAATGTCTACTGATACCAAGACATTAATCAATTCCGCCCATACTAAGGTTTTCTCTCCATCCCACCATTTTAAAAAAATTTTATAAACTAATACCTAGAAGTCTCCCATCCTCTATGGTCTCCCCCAACAAATGACGTTGAATTGACTTTGTATATATGTTGTGTTGCTGAATATGTATTCTCATTATTTCCTTCCAATAGGAAATATGCTCCTTGATGTCAGGGATTATTTTTTTAAAATTTTTGTATCTCTAGCACCTAACATAGGACTTGACATATGGCAGATGTTTGATAAATGGTTGGTCATTGATCAATAGGAGTACTTAGCACTTCACAATTAACTTGGAAAACTAGCAAGTAACCGCAATAAAAAGGAGGTTTCTTCCCTAGACTCAAACACATATTTGGCTGGAACAGCTGCTATTCAAATCCTCCTCTGATGTCACATCATGTTATGGGGTGACTTTGGAGTCCATCTCAAGAGATCTGAAAGCGGCATGCAAGTTCAGGTAGGTCTTGTCAAGCTGGAATGACTTTCAATATAGATCCGGTGATGAACTGCACCCTGCAGACAACACATCATTATAAATCTCTTTGAACTTAGAGACACCAGTAGTAGAACCACCAATGTGCAATATTCTTTCCATGTTTCAGTCATCTAAGACCAAGCCCAGGCAAGTTTGGGGAGGGTCATCACCAGATTCTTATTACCAAGTGCTTTTGGTTTTTTTGTTGTTTTGTTTTTAATAAAATCTGCTATGGTTTGGAGGGATGGCTGAGGTTATATTCTGCTTTGGTGACTAGAGCCTCCATACCAATGAGATCATGGGTTTCCGAAATGTTGAAGTCAGCAATAACTAATGAAGCTAGCAGCCTCAGTTTAATAAACAAGCTGACAGATTGGAAATGAGATTGGCAATGCTGGCAGAATGCCTAACTGCGCAATGCTCCCACTGAATCCGCTGGACATATACTGGAAGCCAGACGGTGTTCAGATGAGCATCTTGCTTTAAAAAGCTGTTTCATGTTCTCTTTCGGGACATGAGAATGACAGCGAAGTTAGTTTTAGGCCCATTGCAGACTCTAAAACATCATTTATGGAGTTAGAATTGTTGGGTCCCTCTGCTCCCCCATTTTCTTCTCCTGAGCCCCAATCCACCAGGGTCTCATTAAGCAAATCCAAATTGTACAAAGAAAATCAGGACTGAAATGAAAGCAGCCTGGGTTTGTTTGCAGGCTTCAGGGCCTGATCCCCCGGGGCCCCAGATCAGTGCCTAGCCTTTTTTATCTTTCAGTGCCTTAAAGCTACGGTGGTCTGTTCAGCCTTCTGTGGCTACATATGTCTCTAAGCCAGAATGATTGTTCCTAACAGCATGAACTCAACATTATCCTCCCTCCTGCCTCTTGATTCCCCGTGAATTAAACAGTGGCTGCTTGGGAAGGATGCATACACTGCTAAGACCAGGTCTGAGTTGGCCAGATTTATGGCTTGTAAGACTCAGTAGAAAGAAAAAGCTTACAGTTTCCTTTCAAAATAACATAAATAATTCTATTTTTTTCAGGCAATCCTGAAGACCATAACATTAAAGCTTGCTGAGTAAGAAGGAAAATGATTTAGTTTATTGCCCTCATCGTCCCTTCTGCACGTCCAAAGCTTTGTGCTTTGCTCTCACTATTCCTTAGGCCTACATCCCTTTCTCCACTGTCAAGCTATGCCTGGAAAAATCCTCCCTCCCCATCCTTCAAGACCCTGCTCAAATACCATCTCCTTTATGATGCATGATCCTATCAATAAGAAATTCTCTTTCCTTTGTCACACCTTGAATAGCACTTTGCACGCCTTCTTTAACCTATTCACCTTTTTAATTTTTTTGTCATTGTTGCACAATTATGTGTATATGTATGTATGTATAAACACACATACGTCTGTATGTCTTCTCCCTTTGCTGGACTATGAATTCTGTGACAATAGGATTATGTCTTATTTAATTAGTATAATTATGTGCACAAAGTAGGCATTTAATAAATAATAAAGCATAAGTTCCTTGAAGGTAAGAATTATTTCTTTTTTAAATTTGCATACCCAGGACCTAGCATGAAATCGGTATTTAATAAATTCTTGTTAATTGCTATTTTGATAAATGATTGTTCAATGAATGAATGAAACTATTACAGTCAACTTCATTATGAATGAAGATGTGAATCTTATAGTAACTCTGTGTGACCATGTACAAGTCATGTTACTCTTTTAATTTTCAATTTCCTTCTGCATTAAACAAGAAGGGGAGGGGGTTGATGGTCTGTAAGGTCCCTTTTAGATTGTCGTTTTTAATTCTATGATAATAAGCCTAGAGAGAGGGAAAACTAGGCATTGCTTTTTGGCCTTATGCCATCAACATCTTTATCAAAGTACAGAAAGCATGCTTCTATAGTTTTCAGGTGAGAGAAATAGCTCACACATTGGCTGATGAAGTCAGGTTCCAAATAGTTCCTGACATAATAGAATGATGGGCTGTATCTAATCAGATGCCATTTACTAGGCATGATTATGAAACCATATACTTGAGTTCCAAAAAAACAAAACAAAACAAAAGCAATTCCACAACTATAGAATGAGAGAGATTTGACTATATGACATTCTATGTGGAAAAGATCTTAGGATTGAGTGGACTGCAAACTCAATGTGAGTCAACAGTGTGCCTGGAAGCCAGACATCATGAACTTAGGCTTCAGATAAAAACACTGTTGTCAGCTGTTCCAGGAATATTGCTAGGATGCCACTGGGAATCCCAAATCTGCTGACCTTTGGAAGTTCACAAGATTCTCTTCTAGTCCCAGGGAGAGGCAGGTTGGTAGGGAGAGATAGAGAGGTGAGACGAAGGTACTTGTCACCTGCCTCGTTCCCCCAGCAGGGGGAGCTGGCAGGCAGCTGGCTGGGACAGCTCTCCACTGCATTGTCCGACACTCAGACACTTAGGTTCCAAACTGACTTGCTATTTTTCACAGGTCATTGCTGAGTCACCTCAGCCGATATCATCATACTTCCTGTGGCACCTTTACCCATTGTATCCAATGACATTCAAGGACTTAACATACATAGTATAATACCTTTGATCAATTGTTTTAATAGAAATGTTCTCCCTTGGGTAAGGTGGCTACTTTTTTTTGTTTTGTTTTGGTTTTGGGTTTTTTTTTTGCTAGGCAATGGGGTCAAGTGACTTGCCCAAGGTCACACAGCTAGTAAGTGTTATGTGTCTGAGGCTAGATTTGAACTCAGGTCCTCCTGAATCCAGGGCTGGTGCTCTATCCACTGTGCCACCTAGCTGCCCCCTGTAAGGTGGTTACTTTAAGCGAAATGGGATGATTGATGGACTCCCTCAATCCCCAACCCAAGAGTTTGATTCCAGCCTCACTTTCAAGGCTTCTTTCACATTATTCCTTTAAATATACTCTACATTGGGGGAAGCTAGGTGGCGCAATGGATAGAACACTGGCCCTGAAGTCAGAAGGACCTGAGTTCAAATCAGACCAAAGACTTGACACCTTACATGCTGTGTGATCCTGAGCAACTCACTTAACCCCAGTTGCCAATATATATATATATATTTTTTTTTATATATAGAGAGTATATATATAAAAACCCCAATTGCCAAAAAATATATATATAATATAATATATAAATATATACAGAGCATATATATAAAAAATAAATATATATTATATATTATGTAATAAATAAATACATAGAGTATATATAGAGAGTATATGTATACATAGAGCATATATATATACTCTACATAAATAAATGTGTGTGTATGTGTATGTATATATACTCTACATTGAAGCCAAACTGACTTAAATACTATTCCTTCAATTTTGCATCCATTTTGTCCCTGTGACAGGCTATCCTTTCCTTACCTCCCCTTAGAATCCTTAGCTTTTGGGGCAGCAAGGTGGTGCAGAAGATAGAGCTCCAGCCTTAAAGTCAGGAGGACCTGAGTTCAAATCGAGTTTCAGACACAACACACAACATGTACTAGCTATGTGACCCTGGGCAAGCCACTTAACCCCAATTGCCTAGCAAAAAGCAAAAAAAAAAAAAAAACAATCCTTAGCTTCTTTTGAGGCTCAATGCTGATTCTAACTCCAGTGGGAAGCCTTTATTGATCCTTCTTGTTATTCATCTTCTCCTCTCCAATTGCCTTGCTTTTCTGTATCTGTATAAATATTGTCAGCCACCTCAGTAGAATTAAATTCTTTGGGGGTGCTATTTCTCACACATGATGTTCCATCTTTTCTCTTCATGACTTTGCACTGGCTATCCCCTTTGCCTGGAAAACTCTGCCTCCTTTCCTCTGCCTCTTAGAATGCCTGTTTTTTTTCAGATTTTAAGGACTACCTTCTTCATAAGACCTTTGTTTATCACCCCAGCTAGTAAGGAAAACTACAATGGCCTAGATGAGCTTGTCTGATGAGCATCTGACCATTAATATTAAGCAAGGAATACAACAGGGAGATGCATACTTACCAGCATCATTTACCTCTGTTGTGGAAGTGACCTGGAACAGATTCTATGTTGAAAAGGGATTTCCTACAGATAGTAGTTGTTGGTGCTGTTTGTGGATATCATACTGATTTCATCAAGTTCCAGAGAACAAAAAAATATGTCCTAAAGTGACTCCCAAACCATTCTAGACAATTTGACCTAATTATTCATACAGGAAAAAAATACTACCTATTGTTCAGTCTATGACATGTAAGTAGATAGACAACTTACAAAGCTTGTTAATCAGTTTCTATGTTAGTATGTAGGTATGCATGTGTATAAATTTATGTGTATATATATAATGTGTGTTGTGTGTGGGCTTTTTCTTTTTTGGGATGTGTGTATATATAATGTGTGTGTGTGTGTGTGTGTGTGTGTGTGTGTGTGGAACCTGGGCACTAACTCCACCTCTTTCAATGCTTTCTTTCTTCCTGAACTAGGACCAACTCAATCACTCCACCTGCATCTAATTCACCAGGTCTGGGTAATTCCACAGACAGGTGGTCATATGGCTACTACTCTAACTCTCAGGGTTTTAGGGATAACCCATGTGGATAATTATTCCTACCGATACCTACCAATACTCCCACCAATGTATTTATCGTGAACAAATAAGCCACTAATAACTAATCTTAACCAAACTATTTACTGGAAATGAAAAATAAGCATAAAATTTTATGTAGAATTCCATACTATAAAAAACAATAAACCATAATTACCATCTTCCACCAATGTACAGAATATCTATTGTAAGAATAAGCTAATACCTAAAGTCCCAGGATAGAAAAGCACATGTGGAGAGGCTACAAGTGGTCATAGAAACTCAAAACTATATGCATCCGTCTTCTCATTCTGTCTCAGGATTTGTCCATAAAAGCTTTTGTGTTGAACAGCTGTTTCCACTGTTCAGCTAACTCAATCACGCTGTTCTTGACTAGCATCTCACTGGGTATATCTCATTTGGATTACTTGATCCACTGGGCTTCTTCTCTGGTGTCCTATTTCTAAGCTGTTTTCTGCTCACCTGGGCTTACCCCTCAAGAGCAATTGTAGTATCCATCGCATCCAGCTTCAGCCTTAGCCAATGCTGCTATAGTCTTTCAAAAAAAAATGAATTTTATACTAATGATGGAAAACCTCTCCAACTCTGCTACTTTTCAGGATTCTTCATCTTTTTTACATTCCAACAAAAGATGGTAATGCAGAGGAGTATCTTATGTGTTCTCTTTTCTCTCCCCATCTTATTCCTCTCATCAATAAGCCCTAATGGAAAGCAACATATAATGTCTTTAATGTTTCTTCTTAGCAACATATAGCACTAGAAAGCACTCCAGCCTCTCACTGGACAGCCTGACCAGCAACAAAGCACAATGCAGAGTCACTGTCTTTCTTTGACACAGTTCTGAATTACATTCTTTCACTGCTTTCTTTTTTTTCCACTTCATTGTCTTTTAACTTTTCTCAGCTGTAGCTTTGAGATGAACTACTTAGCTAATGGTTAATTACCACATTCTCATCTTCTATCTATAATCAGATAAATGACACTTATTCCATAATCATAGAAGAGTTCCAGTGTCTATATTTCCCCAGTTATCAATCTAAAAGTTCCCTGGTTCTGCAATTCTTCCTATGCAAATTACCAAAGCAGATTGAGTTCTCTGTTCACCCTCACAATCTACAGCTTGTCAAATGCAAATGAGCAAATATTATCTCAGAACTGTGAGTCAGATTTAATTCAGTAACTGCTTCTTTTTAGAATTTGAAGGAAGTCCTACCCTGGACAAATGAACTTTCAAAACCGACAATTCAACAACAACCCCTTTTTTTGAGAAGCAAACTTATGTCCACATAAGTGAACTACTATTAGAATTTCTGTCTCTGTCTCTCTCTCTCTCTGTCTCTCTGTCTCTGTCTCTCTCTGTCTCTCTCTCTCCCTCCCCCTCTCCCCACACCCATTGGCATTTTGCCAGACTCTGCTGGTACACAATGCCAACAACCACAGTTCTTGCTTGCAAGGAGATTGTAGCCTCATCAGGGTTTTCAAGACACAAACATAAGTGGGGGAGGGGAATGGAAAACAGCATAAAAGTAACAAAATGAATTTCATTTAAAAAAAAAAAACTTGAAGAATTCAGAGAAAGGAATGGTTAAAGAAGGCTGCTGTGATTAGCGAACAGCTCCTTGGATCAGTGGGCCTTAAAAGGATAACTAGCAATTGGTCAGGCAGAAAAGTCTGCATGTGCTAAAGTTTATTTCCACAGCAAGAATGGTACATTATATTTGGCCTGAAAGTTCAGTTAAAGAAAAAATTGCTGCTGAAAGCATATTTTAAGTTACTTGGTTATTTGAAGCAAATAAAATCATCTTGGGAACTAATTAGGATTGAATGGTCACACCAGAATCCTGACCTTAGTTTTTATTAACCTTTATGTAATTTCTTAGATTCAGTC